CCCCAAAACCCCAAAACCCCAAAACCCCTTTAGGTGATTAAGAAGGCAATCATGAGGAAAAATTAACTATTAAATTGAATTTTAAGTTATATAGTTATTAAATTATTGCAGTTAACTGAATAGGAGTTTATAAACTTTTAGAAATTTTTGCTAGAATCATCAATTTAATAGTGAATTTAAGTTACTTTCATGCCTCTTATGCATAAACTTGATTTTTATATATTTTATTGAGATTTTTCACGTTATCAAAATCTCTTTGCATTTACTTGTATTCATTGATATATTCCTCATTAATTAGAGCATAATCGTATCTGTGTTTGTATTGATATAACTTGAGTCCCTTTATTTTCTCGAAAATACTAGGTCTATCATGAGAAGCGAATAATATTTGGGACAAAATATCGTAGAGTTACTAGTTAAAATCCTTTAATGCTTCTTTATTCTTATGTGTCTTTATTATTTTAGAATAATTGTCTATTTTAAAATAGTAGTCAGCAAAGTTTTAAAGATTGTATTCAGCTTGTTATGATAAATTTTTTATATCATCACTTTCATCCTCAATATAAATGAGCTGTAATATAGTTGTATATTCAGCTAACAGCGATAATATAGCAATCAGTTCATCCTTTATCGTTTTCAGATATTTCAAATATAATGATGATTTAACTAGCCTTGCAGTTATCTAAAGAAGTAAAACAGCAGCATGAAATTTGTGCGAATCCAAAATTTCCTTTAATCCTTCCTCACGAGTGTACCTAGCTCTTCCTAGTTTTAGTGATTTCTTTTATTGTCTACAAATGACAATCAAATCATTAAGATAGTCAATACTATTTGCATATTATTGGCGCTCTCGTTTACCAGTCTAAGCTTCATAAATGTAGCATATATAAGTCTAAATCAATTGTTAATATTCAGGGACATCTGTTCTAGATACAGATAATGCTAGAAAATCTATGATTTTGAGAATTTTGAGGAAATGAGAATGAAACTTTGTCAATCTAGTTGAATAAGAAATGAGTCGCTTTATGATACCTGGACAAGCTTCTTAAACTAAAGAAGAAGAGTATCTCATGAAGTTAAGTCCTAATTTACTTGAAATATCTATGATCTGGCTTATGTATTCGATAGTTTTTACAGATCTGAAGTATTCACATTATTTTAGGTTGTATAGAGTATCAAGAGCATAGTAAGGTTAACTCAAAGAAATAAAGCATTTTATTGCATCAAAGGGGAAAATTCTATCTTTCTTTTCAGAATACAATGACTCCTTAACTTATTTGAGCATTTAGCTTAAAAGTTCTTTACCGTACTTACTAGCTATCATGATATTTTAAATTTTGTTAATAGCGAATCGCCACCAGTTATTTTGTTTAATCAGAAAGTAGTAGTAATACTTCTGAGCAACACTCAAATCATCTTCCATAAGCTTTTGTTGATTAAGAAAATCTATTAAGCTGACTCCATCTTAAAAGTTTCTTAGTTTTTCGCTGAATTCTTTGAATCCCATGAACTCCTTTATATTTTCAGGTATCTAAATTAAATTAGCTTCAATTAAGATGACAAGTTTCTATTTTTTTAGTCTCCTGATGCGATTTCTTGAAGATCTTTTTGGTTGAACCTAAACATAATTTTCTTCATTCTCAGCCATTTCTACTTGTTATGGCTTTGACTTGAGTGTTACTTATGATTTGCTTCGTTAAGCTTTCTCTAGGACAATCTTTTTTTGCTTTAGTATTTCGGCGGAAAAAGTTAATGGTAGGATAAGTTAAGTTTTTATCATTTTCGAATTGATTAATTATTAATTATTAATTAGGGTATAGCTCTAATTTAAATACTCACAAAAAGATATGCATTAATTTATAATTTGGAAGTTCATTTTATTCGAAAATTCGTCAATTTCTTG